GGCCATCTGTCCAATTTGTGTAGGGTCTGTCCGACTGTGTCTATCAGAGTGAGGATGGGTGGTGGTGAGCTGTTAAAAAACCATTTTTTTTAATTTGACCAGGAAATAAGCATTATGAAACAGACACTATTCTAAGTACTTTACAAATATTAACTCGTTTAATCCTCATGAGAGCCCTAGAAGAAAGGTGCAGGTATTACCTCTGTTTTACAGATTAGGAGGCTGAGGCACATGGATTAGTAAGTAGTAATGTGATGGACCTGGAATCTGAACATTTGCAATGTTTTTCCCCTTGAAAACAATGATAACTTAATAGAGACAACAATTTGAGTAGTATCAACCACATGTAAACGTATATACAGTTGTAAAAGTCAGTGTCTAATGACTGACTTAGCTGCATTGTTTTCATATCAAAATAACTAAAATACGAGGGCAGGACATTTTAGTGACAAAGAAGTTATGTCTGAGCTAGCAGTTACTTGTAATAATCAATTTCTGGGGCTGGTGCTGTGGTATAGTAGATTAAACCTCTGCCTGCAGCACCAGCATCCCATGTGGGTGCCAGTTTGAGTTCTGGCTTTTCCACTTCCTGCTGTTAGCAGCTCCCTGCTAACAGCCTGGGGAAACAGTGGAAAATGGCCCAAGTGCTTGGGCTCCTGCACCCATGTGGGAGACCCAGAAGAAGCTCCTGGTTCCTGGCATCAGTTCGGCCCAGTTCCAACCATTACAGCCATTTGGGGAGTGAATCAGTGGATGGAAATCACACACTCTGTTTGTCTCTCCCTCTTTTTGTCTGTAACTCTGCCTTTCAAATAAATAAATAAATTTTTTAAAAATAACCAGTTTCTCCTCATAAAAGCCTATAAGTTGAATAATCATAAAGTAATGCATTAGGAGAGTTTGACGATTCTAGTTCAGTGTTTTTACAATAAGCTTAGTATCTATGCAACCATGACCATACACTCATGTTCTTATTGCACAAACACTATAGATATTTGGTATTTCCATGGCTTTTAAGAGGAATGTTGTATTCATACATTGTCAGGGTTTTTTTTAAGTTACCTGTAGTTTTTGGTTGCTGTTCTTTTCATGATATGTTATTTTTAGACTTCATCATTGTTATTTTTTTGTTGTGCATAACTTGCTTTACCCCTTAGTGTGCTGTGATTCCATTTATCCATAGTTGCATAAAATGATGCTGTGGATTTTCTGTACCTAATAATACTTATAGAGTAATATTCTATTGGTATCACTTGGCTATCTTTCCATTGGAAAGTGGGGGGCAAAGGATAAAGATAACCGAGGGATCTGTTGATCTGTCCTAGGAGGGCCACAATCTAAAGGCGTCAAAATCCACTGCCTTAGATATAGATATACGGTTAGAAAAAAAGAGGAAGAAGAGAAATTGTAGCTTTAATTGTTTAAAAATATA